TTTTCATTTTTTACCGCTACTTTTTTCGGGTTGTTTTGTTTGTTTTATTATTTCATGTATCCTTTATCATTTTTACATTCACATGCATGGATGAATCGATGGAATATGTATATTATTGTAGGATTAAAATTGGATTTTCATGGAAATATGTTGGCAGAATTCAAATAAGTCGTAAGATTAACAATAAGAATTTTTTATCTACACAACAGCTATGAATAATTTAAAGCCTTTTACAAGTTTAGAATTTTAGAAAAAAAGGAAACTCTTGGATTTATTCGGATGTTGCGTCACGTGCAGAAAGAGTGTAGATTTCAAACTCTAAGTATCTTAGTAAATAAAGCTATATTCCCTTAGCATTACTTAATATCTGGATAACACTTATACAAGCTGATAGACTTTTGGGTACAAAACTCAAATGGATTTTAAGATTCAAGTCATTTCCAGTCGAGAAATTCCAAGACAATCGAACGCATTTGATGCTGGAAAATTTCACTTTGAAATTCAGGATAAGATGCTGAGCACAATTGATTCTACTGGCAAAAACAAAACATTCATTCTAAATATAAAGCCCTCAGATGCCACGAGAATCTCCACAGAATTTGTTAACATCCATTTCCATTTCCATAAAAAAATGAAAGCATCTTTTACTGCAATCAAAATTCAAAACTCTGCAGGACCTTTAATAAATTAAGAATTCATTAATATTAATTTGATAACATTGTTCTACGACTTGTCCCAACAGAAAAATAAACTTCCAACATTGAATTGATTATTTTACTTTTTGCAGTCATTTTCCTATCTCTCTACCCTCCGCTCATTTCCCTTTCTCATCTTTTATGTATTTCAATTGACATTTTTTTTATTGAACAACTGAATGATTAGCATTTAACATCCATTGACAACATTCGGGAACAATTTCTTTTTTCATCTATCTCGCTTCGTTTCCCTTCCGTTTTGGCTTTTGTTACCCACTGTCATTGCCGCAAAATTCACGGTAGTTATTCAGCGTACAAATGTGAAAGTATGAAAATCACTAGAAGTTTATTATTGAGATGGATTTGAAAGTCTTAACGCAGGAATATCAAGATCCAGAGGGATTTTTAAACTAGACTTTTTTTTGAACATCCTGTTAAGTAACAAAGGTTTACGAGAAACTTTAGTACTTCAAAACAGCTGATCACTTAGCCAAAACTGCATCAAAATCTTCTCAATTGCAAAAATAAAGCTCATAAAAATTGAGAGATCCGAAATGTTTTCTAGAAATGTATATATCGATAGATATAAAAAACGACAATTGACTGAAGCGGAAATCACAAAAATTGAATAAAAAAATAATCACAAATGTTGTCGAATGATTTATTCATAACTTCAGCAATGGGATCACTGTGGCATATATTGCAATATAGCAATACATAAAGTTGAATGGCAATATGTATAGCACATCTAAAAAATGAGGAAGATTTTTTTTTTGTATTTTGGATGTTGAGTATGTGCTTGGTGCACTGAGCACAAAAATTTTTTTTTTCCTATTCACAAAGCTAGGAAATGAAAATAAAATAAAACGAGAAAAAAAGAGCTATGAAGATATAGGGAAATGAAAAAAGGAGACGATAGGATGAGAATATGAATATTTGAAACAAACACAAGAGGCACTGCCATTCGGTTCTGAATTTCTGTTGTCTACGCAAAATGTATATAAAAAATGAGTCTGTACAGCAAATTATGCTTTGTGCATTAACATTTTTATTTTCACCAAACTTTTATTTTATTTTTTTGGCATGTAGCAAATGAGATTATGTAGTCACTTTTTCTGGATTATTTGTTGATACTCAAGAGATTTTAATGCTGGAAATTTGCAGTTTCTTAATTCTACTCAAAAGTAGATTTTAATGTGGAGTGTAAGTCATGCACAGATTAGGGTCGCAAATTACGAGGTAATTACTTGGGCCCATAAAGGCTCTATTCAAATCAATGAATCATTGCAGAGTGTTGACTCTTACTTAACCTCTGTTCAAAAATGCGCCTACCTTAAAACTACTTAATTCCTTGCTTTTCTCCTCCCCTCCTTTCCAAGACATCCCATTCACTTGAAAATAAATATGCGGAAAATATCTATATAGAAAATTCATTGTATGTGGTCTGATTTGGTTATGAACCACACATGAAACATATTTTTTAGTCCTCGCACTCCCTAACAATCCCATATGCTCTTAGACTCACAACCGAAAGTTCACATATGGAATTTGGAATGGAAAATTAGTCGTCAAAAATAAATAATCTTTCGATGTTAAAAAACATAAAATAAAGTCAGTAAAAAAGCAGTTGAAAGGATGACAAAAAATATGCGACAACCACTTGGTACTTTGGGAGTCTCGCAGACTTAATATTAGAAATTCATTGAAAGAAAAATTCCTTGTGGCAAAAAAGCGACAGAAGAGAATTGTTTAATGGATTTCCAAATATAAATCATTTTTAATGGTATTTTTATGGATATGACATATATACTCTATTTTTCCATATGAAAAAGTACAAAGGCATGCAGAAGTACCAAAAAAATATTTCGTCGAGAAGGAAAGAAAAATCAATTGTAAATGTTTATTTCTGTGGAGCATCATTACGTTTTGAAGGGGTTCTTGCTTCCTTTCATGCTTATATTTGTGTATTTACAGTGCCATAAAAAAATATAATAACATCCACCATTTACTTACCCATAGTGTTATATATGAAATCTTCCGTATAATTTTCATATTCGGCTTTTTTTGGGTTTTAGAAAGTATTTATTTGGGAACGAGTAGGTGATCTTTACATTCTAGAACATGTGAAGCATTTTAAAGGTTTTTAATGTCGGTCGATAGCAAAACAGAAGTTAAACAGCCACTAATGCCTAATAGTCTGATGATTTGCTTTCTGAGCATGTTGTAGCTATCAGAAGTTTGAATCTTATCTTAAATGTCCCAATCAATTTTAATTTGTAAACTCACTCTAGATCAAATGCTCCCCGCTTCTTGTATACAGACACATTTCCCTGATGTTGTAGACTTGTCAGTCGTCAAAAACATCAACTCATCAAATCAAGCTACTGAGTGTCATAAACAATTTTAAACCAAACCCAAAGTGAGTAAAAAATCATAAATTCTTCACCTCAAAAAATTGTCATGAATGAAGAAATATTCTATTACTTACTTTCATGCTTAAAGTGCTCCCTATAGAGTTCTGTTGAAAAGAAAAAAGAGAAAACGAGGAGATGAGTAAATATTAAGTACGAAAAAAACATATTTTCGTGTGTGAGTATGCTACTGCTACTGCTTCTGTTGTGCTAGAAAATAATTCCAAAATAAATAAAATTAAAAGTATATACGTATGTTGCATGAAGAAGCTATGCTTTTTTTACCCCTCTAGGTAAGAGGTTTACATGCACAGTATATCATCATATTTAAACTAGAATAAGGATGATGATAAAAAAGTGTGAGAGAAGAAGAACCAGCAGTTGAGTTGAGAATGTGAATGAATAACTTACTGCAGAATAAAGAACAATTTTTGCCCTCAACACTCTCTTGCTCTTCCCATGTACATACAGCAACAGAAGTATAAAAAATGCCAGCAACTTTTCTTTTCATGCAAATAAATTACAATGATCAACAACAGTAAAGTCAATTATGCGGAAAAGAAGAACAGAATGTACACAAAAAGGTGTATATATGCATGGATGATGGTTGGTTGTGGAAATGAATGAACACAAAAAATTAACTTCAAGAAAATTTGCATTTCTGTGCTCTGATTTTCTTACTTGAGTACCTTTATGTTCAACTAGTTGCGTGGGGAAATTTACAGTTTGTTGCTTTAAGGAATTAGTGAGCTAGAATTTATCCCGAGCTGTACACTATGCAGCTATACTCAACTGCTAGCACAGCTACCTAGAGTCATACTACTCGGGTATCTTCTAAAGATTTTATCATTAAGGTAAATTATTAAACAGCATTAAAGCCAAAAGTACCAAAACTTTCTATAAAAACTCGAAAATCCACCATCCCACGAGAAGGTTCAAAAATTCCAAAGCTTCACATTTTCAAAAATAATTTATCACTTTTTGTTGCTAAATCTGTACAGAGATTTTTTAAGGATCTCTAAAAATAAAATTTTCATCAGACACAAGCACGACATGGAAAGTTTACTTTATGATTCATTTGTTGATAATTAAGCATAAATTATTCAATACACTTGTCAGAATTCCCATAAAATAGGGACTTTTCAACTTTTGTTTCTCTTCCAAAAAACATCCTGAGGAATATAATTATTATAACAATTTGATCCCCAATTTTACTTTTCGCCATAAGAAGAAATTCAATGTGGATTTTTTTGTGTGCTACATGCGTTACTATAATGTGAAAGGTTGAAGGCATTGAAAAGGATTAAACATGTAAATTTCTCCAATTTTTTTTATACATGGTAATAAGTTGTAATAACTTTGAATTTTCTGGTTATTTCTCGTTTAAACGTAGCTAATTTGAAATTTAGATTGGTTTCGAAATCGCTTCATACACGTTTTATGTGAATATATAGCAAGAAAGCATTGGGATGAGCGAAAGAGATGGAAGATATTATTTCTGAATGTGAACTACAATTGTGCATGAAATTCGCCTAACGCCACCCACTGACGCCTCATGATGGGTGGATGTGGCATTTATTCTTATCAAGAGATGGCGCTGACAGCAACTGAGGTGTAATCCTTCATTCAAAAGCTCAAACAGCACACCACTTAGCCAAGACAACACAAACATTCACCCCCAACAAAAGCTTGATTCTTAAAAGCTCTGTACAACTCAAGTCAGGAATTTATTGAATTAGCCATGACACTATCAAGAGCACAATCCATGTCTATGTTAAAATTTTAGAAAAATTACATAGCAGCAAAAATCGTATAAGCCTGCCGCACATCGTCGACTATTGCGTATAAAAATAACAAAAATAAAAATGATAAACATTTCAAGTTGAACAACACAAGAAAGAACAACAAAAAGGAGTGTTTGTTGTAAATAAAACAATATCAATGGTAAGTGACTCCTAATTTTGAGGTCAAAATCGTGGTTAATGAATGGAAAATTCAGATGTATTCGAATAATATTTAAAAATTGTTCATTTCCGTACAAAATGTAATTTAATACTTTGTTGAATCAAGTTAATACATTCGAATGCATTCGGTGAATAAAATTTCATTCTTATGAGTTCGGTGACATTTTTTTGCATTTATCAGCATTTAATGAGGAATTTCTTGACATGCTTTAGTAGACACAATTAAATGTAAATATAATAAATACATCATTTTATTAAAATCACATCTTATTCTCTCATATATCTTGCAAGTGAAAAGTTCTTATGCTCTGGAAATACGTGACTCTATACACATTCAAAAGGAAGAAGTGCCGTGCACATGTATGCGAGTGTTTATAGTTTTATTTTATATATTTTAAATACTAAATCATTTATTTCATGTATTTTTCTGTCTTAAAATGAGTTGAGATCTTCAGTAATTAAAATTAGTTCTAGAAAGTTTTGACACGAGCGCATATTTTTTTTGTGCGTTGATTTTAATATTTGCTGAATTGAGGAAATGATGTGCGAATAAATCTAGATCTATCTATATTGCTGATAAGAATTTTATTAACCAATTGAAAGACCTGTAATACAATTTTTACAGTGAAGTTGCTTTTATGGATTAAATCACAAATGACGTCTCTTAGGAGTTTTGTTTCCCTTGTTAGAATTTTCACATGGGGTTGCTCAATTAAGCCTTATATCGCTTAAGATACACGTTCGTAACTGTTTTGAATTATTATAATTTATTTGTCGACGTTACCGTCCGGAAGAATTAGTTTTTATACATGTTTTACCTTTTACATTGATTAGTGATACATTTCATATCCCTATGGGTGACGTAGAATCAAGCTTCTAATCTTCAAATCTAGGTTTCGATTAAATTCAGGCTCTCGTTTCAATCTTCTGTGGGCGTGAAGTGATACATTTCAGGTCCGTTCTGACAATATTCCATTATAAGGTAATCTTGTAGCTCTCGTTCCTATTTCTCCCGTTACACTTCAAGTTCCTGATCCGTTCCTTAATCCAACGTTGCCCAAAATGCCCAATTATGGCTTGATCTCGTACATTAAGCAGTCGAAGTATCTAAACTTCTAAAAAAAAAAAAAAATTTGGAAATGGTTGGATTCGAACCGACGACCTTCGAGTTACCATACCAAATTTGAGCCAAGCGCCTTACCTATTCGACCAGCAAGGCACTTAACTGCCTTAGTGATCCACTCAACAGGAAGAACAATCCTAAAATATTTAAAAATTACTTACATAAATATCGAAATGTTCAGTCAAAAACTAGCCAACAGACAATGTGAATGATGAATAGTCAGATTTTTGACCTTACCATACAAATTTTGCACAAAACAGAGAGTCAACCGGACAGAGAGACAAAAGAAATTCAAACTGTAATAAATTTGTAAAGAATATGTCAAAAACAAATCGTCTGCACGAGGAAGTCGATAGAAGATCACTATTGCGTTAATTATTGCTTTGGAAATGATCATATGTGGTAGTTGAAATTATCAGCATCTGTTTATTCAATCTGTACATATTCTTATTTTCACTCGAAATAATTTCATTGACAAACTTACACTTGTTCTTCTTATATCGTTCGCAGATTTTTTAATCAGCATTTATTGGAGTCTCCGTAAGGACGTAATATTATACTCAGATCAAAATTTATCAACGTTAGAGATTTAGACATAAGATATAGCTAAAAGTTCACATAAAAAAATGAAGCACTTGAAAATACTCTCAATATTCATAATCATTACAACGACAACATGGAATGTTGGATGTGAAGTAAGTAATCTTAAATTCATGCATGAGACTTTATTTTTTATGAATCACACACTACTCATGTACTGATATGAGACACTTTGTGATGAGGAAAAAAGTTTTTGTGAGAGACCGGCAAAAAAGACGCAGTAACGCATAATGTAGACGTTTCAGATTACTTCATTGTAATTAACTGAATGCTGTAAGATCTCTTTGTCTGGAATGTAGATTCAATAAATTCTATTTGTTTGACAATTGGACAATTCATAATTATTTACCCATTACTTCAGTAACAACTTCATAAGCGTCATTTTATGACTTCAAATAAGAAAGTTCCTCTTATGATTCATTGCTCCCAAGGGACGAGAATTTGACGCTCTGCATCAGATTTGAGTAGAAGTTTACAGCCTATGAATTCACACTAAACTCTTACATTTAAACTTTATACTTATCACAAACCGCCATTAATTATTATATTGATCATTAGTTAAACATTTATATCGTTGTAGATGTTCACAGCAGTAACTGATATGGAAGGAGTGCTAGAGACTGAAAGTGTATTGATAAATAATTTAGAAGGTTACATAAAAGCACAGGAAGAAAAATTAGATTTTTTAAGAAAGAAAGTGCTGGAATACCAAAGAGAACATGATTCAGCAGCAAATGATGTTTCAGAATATCTACTTAATCCAATCAATGCATACTTATTAACAAAAAGATTGACAACTGATTGGCGGGAAGTAGAACGTGTAATGACACTTGATGTTGGATCGCAATTCGTTCAAAATGTCTCTGACTACAGAAACATAATGAAGTTCCCAACTGATGAGGATCTGGCAGGTGCAGCAAGTGCATTGATTCGTCTTCAAGATACATATGGCATGAAAACGGAGGAAATTGCACGTGGTAAATTGAATGGAGTTCAATTTAGTATTGAGATGTCGAGTGAAGATTGCTTTGAAATTGGCAGACAATCTTACATCAATAGTGATTTTCGTCATACGATTTTATGGATGAATGAAGCATTAAATCGTCTCAATAATGATTCCAATCTGAATCGAGCGGATGTTCTTGAGTATCTAGCATTTTCTACATTTAAAGAGGGCAGAGTAAGAGATGCATTAGAGATGACGCATGAACTACTTGAATTAGCACCAGACCATAGACGTGCTCTTGGCAATAAGAACTATTATGAGAAAGAATTGATGAAATTAAATCTGAAATCAGAGCTTCGCGGTGATGATGGAACGAATGATGTCCCAGTTGATGACTCTGTCGAGTTCCATTACATCAACAATCCATACAATTATGATATACCCGAACGAAAGATGTATGAACTTGCATGTCGTGGTGAATTACGTCCACTTGATAGTATTGTAAAGGACCTTAAATGTAGTTATGTAGACAATGGAGTTCCATTCTTAAAAATTGCTCCATTAAAACTCGAACAAATATCTCACGATCCATACATTGTCGTGTATCACAATGTCATGTATGATAGTGAGATTGAAATTATTCAGCAAATGGCAAAGCCGAGATTTAGGCGCGCAACAGTACAAAATCACAAGACTGGTGAATTGGAAACAGCAAACTATCGTATCAGTAAATCAGCATGGCTGAAAGACTCTGAACATCAAGTTATTGCAACCGTTGTACAACGAGTAAAGGACATGACTGGTCTCTCTATGGATACAGCAGAAGAGCTACAAGTTGTAAACTATGGCATAGGAGGGCATTATGAGCCACATTATGTAAGTGTCTTCTTAATTTACACATAGCAATATAAATTGCAAGTATGAATGAAGGCATGAGCGCCTTTCGTGTCCTCTGTTTTATTTTTGAAGCATGTCAATTTCTTTTCCTAGTAAAGTCAATCTTTATGTCCCATATTGTGTTTAGAAAATGTCATATCTCTATTCAGATCGACATAACAGGGACAATGAAGTTTGTTCTCCATGAAAGTTGCACAAGTAAAATTTTACACACCTGTCGCAGTCATTAAAGTTTCATAATCCCATCCTTCCATTAGTTCGTCATCCTCATTTACAAGCTCTCATATTTTTATTATTCATATTTTTAAAGGATTTCGCTCGCAAAGAGGAAACAAATGCATTTAAAAATCATGAAGGTGGCAACAGAATCGCAACGGTGATATTTTACGTAAGTAATTTAATATATCCTCTCGTGAATTGTTAATGTATACGTCTCAAAATATATTTCTATAATTACATAGATGAGTGATGTTACGTTAGGTGGTGCAACAGTTTTTCCAGCACTACGTACATCATTATGGCCTGAGAAAGGTGCAGCTGGTTTCTGGTTTAATTTGCGACGTTCAGGACAAGGAGATTATAAGACACGACATGCAGGTAAATAGATTGATTTATCTGTTTTATGCTTCACGTTCCATTAATATCAATTTATCATGAGACATTTGTTTTGAGTAAATTGGTATGCGGATGAATGAGTGTGAGGTGTGCGTATGATGTGAAGGATCTGTGTAATTTTTGATACACACAAAAAGGGTGGGAAAATGATTTAACACACATTTTGCCTCTAAGCAACGAAAATTGTTCTATTTTTGACACTTAGACTTGATTAGAGTCTAGAATGATCTCGAAATTCAGCTGAATATATTTGGTTTTTTTTTTGAATTTTAAACTTAATGGGAAACTTCCTTTGGCAAAAACTTAACAGACTTTCGGTTTTCTAGCTTAACTTCGTGTAAAATATTAGTTCTTCTTTATTAAGAAAAAGGAAGTACCTATCAATATCATTTGTAAACTGAATTTCTTTACAAATCAGAATCCAATTTTTGTCCTTCTTATTTTTTGCTTTTACCTTTTTCTTACTTATCGATGTCATCGTAACGCATCCCATGAAACTGGAAAGATGCTTACTTATTGAATAATTTTGTCAGAATTGAGACTTCCCCGTCACTCGATTAATTTTAAGCGGTTATATTAAGAGCAATTACCATCCACAAAAGAAATTTACTTTTGTCTTGACTTACCTTTATTATATCAAGCTTGAACCTAGCTCCTTAACAGAAATTAATAAACATGAAGAACTTCCAAAAACCTGTAAAAATCCTCTCAAGAATCTAAAACGAAAAATTCCTCGATGCTTTATTTATTCATTTTCTTTTCTCCCCTTTCTCGACAGCGTGCCCCGTTATTGTTGGATCAAAATGGGTATCGAATAAATGGATACACGAACGTGGTCAAGAATTTATACGTCCATGTGCTCTTGAACCGGACCATGATATGGAATTTTAGACAAACAAAAAAATAACTTAAAGAAAAAATTTTAAGAAAATGAGATGAAAAACTTTTTTGTAACCCCAAAAGCAACCTGAATGAACATAACTGACGATGATGATTTATAAATAGATTATAGATAAAAAATTAAATTCTTATATTTGATATCAGCAAAATAATTTGAGGTTGATCAAATTTCGAGTGATGTAAGATTTGAGGCGGCAGTCTTATCGATTATTGGAAATTTCATAAAATGAGTCTCGATTTGTGTCAAAATTTCGAATATAAAATTTATTGCCATATCAGTAGGTTTTAGTCATCAAAATTATTTCGCTTAACCGAATCTGTTCCTGAACATGCTATTGATTAAAAATATTGAAGACTGCCTGGATATTAAAAAGTACTATTTTAAACTTTATGTCACTCAAAATTTAATAATTTTAAGAATTTTATACAGGATGAGATTTTGCGCAATCAATGCCAATGTCTCGATGCCATATGACATTTTTTGTAACATTACCAAAAAGATACTGATTTTATTTAATAAGGAAATGAATAATATAATAAAATAAAAAATCTCTTGTAAAAAATAAGTTTAAATTGATGTGTTCTTTGCGCTGGTCGACTTTTTGGGAGATGTATACATGCCAAGAAAAAAGTGTTGAAATAAACATTTGGAATTTCGGTTAAGCTTAGCTGACTAAAAGTAAACGTTGCTATCGTCAAAGTCAAAATCTTCAATTTTATGATCTACCTCATTTTCAAACACGACCATTTTTCTGCTTTACAAAAAAAAAATTTACAAGGATTTTTCTTGCTTTTTTTGATGCCGAAAGCGCAAAAGTTTTATTGCTGAGTCTTCTTGTTACTTCTCATGAACAAAAATGAAAGTTCTTTCCGTCTTGGTGCTTATGACGAGTTTTCACTTTTTGAATTTCACGACATTCAATCACAACCTTGTCTGACTATGTACGAGATTAAATTCTTATAGCTTACTGTCAACAAAAGACTCTTTTAACTCAGATGCTTTTAATTTCCTTACTTTTTCTTATTTTTTCATTTCAAGGAAGAAGGAAATTTTCTTTTACCTTATTAATCGCTTTCTTTTTTGTCTACTTCCGCTACAGATCGTTTCTGCTCGTCTAAATGTTCATCAAATAGAGAAACGGAAAGAGTAATGAAAATTTCATAAATTTTTGCTTGTTTGAACATTTTGATGGAAGAAATTTGAAGCAAGTAATGAGTTACGGCTGACTGAATAGACAAGTTGACGCCAGATTTTTTTAATTTTGATTAAATTGTGTTGAAGCTTCTTCGAATTTTTGCTTTTTCAGTCAGTCTTCTCCTGTAAGCAGTTTTTGATGCAGTTGAAAGCCCTTGGGACCCGGAGACTCAAGTCTTCATTCCAATCGATTTATGTGAAAATGTTTTATTTATTTGTCGACAATTTGTTGTTCAAAATAGTCTTCTTTCTTTATTGTATGATAAAATTAGAATTTTATTATTTTATCAGACATAAATACTTTAGTTCTTTCACAAAATTGATTCCAATTACTTCCTGTTCACGTTTCTGATGGGCTTTTGGGGTTTTTGTCTTATTGCTTTATTCTTTACGAATTACTTGAGTAATAAATAATTAATGAAGGAATTTACCATCGATTTAATGCTCAATCAAATTACAGAAGTTTGAAGAAGGGATAAAATTTCTCAAACTCTTTGATCACTTTTTGTTTTGTGGTTGACTGACATTTCCTTCTTCTGGCGGATAAAAATCATTGAACTCAATCGAAGGTTGTGCAATATTTATTTCCTTATTGGCTTATTGGATCCTCGTTTAAAGTTGTAACCTGTGTTATTTTTATGAACGAGCAAAAGCTGATTAGCTTCTCTAGCAAATGTATCAAAAAGTATACTTATTAACGAGAAAGTAATATTAGCACAAATAGCACAAGTCGGTTAACAAGCTAGCATAACTCTAGCATGGTGCTGGATCAGATTTGAGTCTAGCATCATGCCAGAGTTACGTCAGCTGAGTACCAGATTTCTATTCGATTAAACGACTTGTGCTATTCGGATAACAGTTCCATGAATTACTTGATAAAGGTAAAAGCATGTCAATTTGAAAGTTTTTTGAAAAGTCAAAAGCAATAATAAGTTTTCAGTCTAACTCGTGTCCCTGAACTTTATTCAATTCGAACACTTGAGGGAGAAATACGACCTTTAGATAGAAATATTTATAGAACTTGAGGAAGGATACGGTTAAAAATATTGTCATGGTAAATATATGAAGAAATGCGTCAACATTATATAAAGTTTAAAGTTTCAACTCACCTGAAAGTTTATGCTAAATAAAAAAAAGTCAACATCTTAAATTGTTTTGTGTTCCTTTTTCACTTTATTTTGTCAAATTTTTATCATCATTTTTAATTAATTGTATAATAATATAATAAGTTTTAGTCATTGAAACAACAACTACAATCACATCAATAAAATTAATTTTAATAATATAATATTGAGTTATGCTCATTAAATTTTCTTTTTTAATTCTTTTCACAATGCATTAACATCATTATAGGAATTCACAAATGGAATATAATTTTTTTCAATTTTTTTATATAATACCTTTATATCATCAAATATATAAGTTTTCTTGTGTATGGAAATAACAAGGGTATCAAATTCTCATTTTTCATTCTTTTCATTTGGTCACGTCTTCTCCTTTTTTTATTATACTTTTCTTCAAGCAAGTAAACAAGAAGATATAAAATTGTTAAAGTTTCAAAAACACAACAGAAGAATAGAGTATAAAAGGAGTGTGTAGGTAAAACTTCTTAAATATATATTTATTTTTTTATGTGTGTAAATATATAAAAATGTATTGGAGGAAGGGGATTGAAAGAGTAAGGTACTTGATTGATCGCAAAAAGGTTATAAAGTCTTTTGGATGTGTATAAATTTCTCTTTGTTCAATCTAATATTTTTTTGTGTAACACTGAGTTTCTAAGATGTTGTCCTGGGGATGAACTCTTATCCACAAGACATGTGGGATCAAAAGAACTCCAAATTCTATGCTTTAGATCTTCAGAATTGAATTTTCAAGAGATGTCAATCTTAGTCAGTTTAAAATAACAACTCTGGGCTATACAAAGTCTTTCTTCAAATAAATTCAAGTCCATAGCTTTTCATTCATATTTAAAAAGTATACATACATAAAATATAGGTCAAAAAGATTGATATTCTTACTATGTCATAGATTTTCAATACTCTAGATCTTTACTCATTATGCTAAAAGCTTTTAGGTTGTGGCTGCATCGACATTATAAAAACTTTTTCTCGCTTTCTCTTTCAACTTTTATACAGCAATTTTATTTGTGGTGAGAAATTTAATTTTCCATGCATCACTCGTTGAAAGATAAAGCTAGTAATTCCCATGGTAACAGAAAAATGCATTAAAGTTTTGATGCTTCAAATTTCATATCATGAGATTATTTTTTTATGTGCTGAAATCATAAAAGTTTTATTTATTTTGTATGATTCAGTTCACTATATTCTCGATACAACCATTCGTATCATAAATTGAGCTTTCAAAAATATTCAGGAAATCATGAATAATCTGTTATCGCTACTTCCACTTGTTGGGAAAATTCAACAATAGAATCATCAATATGTTGCTATATACCGAGAGCTATTCAGTAAGAATGTTTGAAAATTATCAAATTTTCAACCTCCTACATAAATCATATTTATTGGTATTAATGTGAATTTCACAATTGACGACTCCCACAGCCTGTCAAAATATCATGTAAATTGAATAATAATGCAAAACATGAATAAATTCCCAAAATAGCGTCGAATTATTAAGCTCCTTGACTTTTGTTGGAAAATTTTGCATTTCGACCATCAACAAAAAGCATTAAATTCTTATGTGGGTGTACAAAAATAATGAATTTACTACTGAGCATTGAGAGATCTCACTTCAGAACTTTTTAATTCATTTAAATTAATTTCGTATCCAGGGAAATTTGCAACAATTGTTTTTTCAAGGATTTCATCATTGTCTCTACAAATGAGTTGGAAATTACAATCGATTGATGTTAAAAAAATGCAAATTTATTCTCAAACGAACGAGTTTCTGGCATTTTTTTAAAGGTAAATGAACATTTACTCGTTAAAGCTTATATGTTTTCTAACTGAGTGGACAAGGGATTTAAAAAATACCCTTTTTGGAAAAAAATTTATCGAAAACTTTTTTCGTACCTTTTTGAAAAGTGTTTTGACAAGAAACAAGAAACTTTTAACGTGCAAGTAAATATTCATGCCTGGGGTGTAAATAACTTCCTCCTCTATCGACTTTGCAAATTCTTTTAAGAATTATTACCCTTTAAATTGTGCTCTTAAAAACTCAGCAACTCATACAAATAAATGCCAAGTTCCTAACATACACAACTGATACATGCTTTATATATTCTAAATTGTTTCCCTTTTATTCAACATACTACAGCTGCAACATTTTAAAGCTCAATTGAAAGCTGTCAGTTTGAAATTCATGTTCGCTCACATTTCAATAAAATATCAAGGAATCGACTTATGTCTGTTTTGCTTCCATCATAACTGAAACGTTTTGATAAGCTTTCATAAAGTTCCTCAGAATTATGGTTTATTTATTAAATTTTAAACTCGTGTATGGAATTTCTTGGAAAGCTTTTAGAGCATGTTCTTTGGAAATTTTATACTAATCGCAATAAGCACCACCCATGCTGCAAAATCTAGGTTACTCCTTCTTTAAAGTGAGCATTAGTTTTGTTTCTTAATTAAAAATCATTCAAGATTCTCAGAAGACTCAAAATAAGCTCTTTACAATTTTCAATAACCGACTGTCAATAATGTTAAATAAGTTTCTAAAGTTCATCCTCTTTTCTGCTCTAATTTTCCACTTCCACTCGACAATTTACAACAAAAATTTTTCAATTCGTTATTTATTTAAGAAATATAATTAAAATTCTGAATCATTTGGAGCAGAGCTCGAAGTCAACTCGAGATTTTCATCGATTTTTTATAGCGGAGTTGACTCCGACTCGACTCGACTTCATACAAAATTTCATTGACTTCGAGCTCTGATTTGGAGCTTCCGCTTGTTTTGATTTAGCTATAAAAAAAAGATTTTGTTGAAAATTTCATCCTAGCCTAAAGCGATTCTTGTTGTTGTTAAGCTTTAGTTGAATGACAAGCGAAAAAATTAATTTTCAAATCAGATATTTTCTTCTTTGCGTTCTATCAGCAACCCTAGTCATTTAGCATGTCTGAGAATGAAAGTCTATGACATCAGTTAACTTGTAATATTACAAAATTTTCTCAAGGATTGTCATGTCTTCCTTTTTATTTTCAATCATGATAGAAAAACATAAAAAAGCTCTTTGTAAAGATCTCACTGACAATTTATGTATATATGTATATTTTTATAGAGTATACAAAGTTCATTTGATGTAAATAAATTAAATTAAATTTTATCATTTTCTCAGAAGCAAAGCTTCCGGCAGTCGTGTGCTAATTTCATGACTAATGGTGTGGAAAAGTTTTTTTCTGGTAGAGAGCAAAATTTTGTTGACACAACACTGCTAGTTCATAGTTTTATTGATTTTTCTCGACTTCAATCAATGAAATTGAGATGTCTATGCTGTGTGCTCAATGAAATGTTTTGGTATGACACATAAATATTGAAGTTTTCAGCATATTATCTTGAATGAAAGCCAGTGGCGTAACATTGATTAGTACAGGGGCGTAGCCAGGGGGGGGCCATAGGGGGCCCGGGCCCCCCCTACGAAAATCTGATAATTGCTTTATTAAGTATTTATAGAGAAGAACCAGTTAATGTAGAGGAAGTGATGAAAGAAATGTCAAAATCAGCACGAAAAATTAAATTTAATGTATGAATAATGAATTAAATATTTAAACTTATGAAGAATGAATATAGATTTAAGGATACAAAATAACGGTTTTTTAATTTTCAAAAATGGGCCCCCCCTTGAAAAATTTTCTGGCTACGCCCCTGGATTAGTATAAATGTTGTTGAATAAAGCAACAAGGAACTTAGCCAAGAAATAATTGAATCTCGATCATTTTATCATGGAAATATATTAAATCATACTTTAAATGTTCCTAGTAAGTTGAATTCAACACTGTATCCACCCTTGAGACTGCGTAGCATACATGCACATTGTAATACTATTTTAAAATACATTTGGCAAAACCGTAAATCAATTTTCCTGACATTTCCAAATAATTCATATACGTAGGTAGTTTCGTAACATTTTTAAACAAAATTAAAGCATGCTCTCTTGAGAATGAATCGAATAAACTCACGCTCTATTTACTGCATGCATGTACCTTAGTATTTCAGATTTTTTTTTCCTATCCTTAACAGCTTCTTTACATGAATTTTTCAATCCATTGCATAAAATCATACCATCGTATCTATTCTTATGCTTATTCTCTACCAGAGGCTTATCGTTTACAGTTCACAAGATAATTTTCATGCTGTTTCATGAATTTGAGATTTTTTCAATAAATCGTTCAGATTCTGAATTTGTGCATTCATTCTAAATATAAAATTTTCTTCACTTCTTCAAATTTTCATGTGTAAAAAGAATATTTTTATCAAAAAATAAAAGGCTAGGCTTGGTTTCAACAATGTTCAGGGTTAAAAAGTCTAATTTATTTGGCATCACAAGATATCAATATGAATGAATGTGATGAAATTGAAATGTGGTTCACATCATGAGACATTTTAAGAAAAGGATTGAAAAATCTAGAAACTATAAAGTTATGCTTAAAGAAACTTTACATCAACTTGTTAATAATATTTCAACATTCTCATATATTGAAATGAAACTTTATATGCCATTAAATTTTTATGTATTTATAATCTTATGTAATTATTTGTATAATCCTTCATTTCATTATTGGAGAGCTCATGGGATATAAGAAGAAATGATAAAAATGATGATCCTTCATAAAGGAATTCTCAATCATATGGAAAGGGGTTCAATAAATCATTGGATATGTCGACGTACTTACGTAGTCATTAAACATTTATTTGGCAATACATATCTGATAACAAATAGATATACATTCACCGTATATATCCTCAATGATACACGAATTATTATATAATATTAATTATTTCACGTGAATGCGCGTCCATCATCATCATATGGAAAAATTATTACTCTTTTTTTTGTCATGATCTACGTGTTTATAATGAAAATTGACGCATTTTAATCAAATATTTGATAAATTATCGCATATTAAATGAGGACACAGTAAGTTTGTTTGTGTGTCACTTCACTTATTTTTTTTGCACACATAAATTATTGATTTTTAATTAACATTTAAACATCATTAAACTATACATATTTATGGCTCTATTCTGTTGCACATTAAACATTAAAAATTAATTTTATTTCCTCTATAATTTTTATCAATATAACATGTAGCTTGTGAATGTCACTTAGTAATAACTAATCCACTACATAACATCTATTAATTTAGTGGTCAAGAAGCTGAAAAGCTTCTTTATAGAAATTAGTCAGACAGTTGGGAATTATAGATAGGCTGACCATTTACTAGGTTTTATCAGAAGACAGTCCTCTGTGGTTTCTGGTCAGTCTACGATTGGGACCATTTAAAGTTGAAATTTCGATTTTTTTTTTAAATTTTTATCTTGACACAACTCGCTGAGGAAATGATGCAAATGTTCATGCAGAGCAGTTGATGAATTTACATTTTTAATACAGATTCAGCACAAAATTGAGTGCATTTTTGACAAATTCCCTCAAGCTACAACAACAGTCAGGAACATTTATCTAAAAATAGACCATCAAGCTGTGTTCTGCATTAATATGTCATACTGCTGCAGAAAGATTTTAAATTAAATTTTTAATTCATTTTCCACATTTGGAATGGTTTTGTGCTTTTTTTTCATCATTTTTTGAGGAATCAATTTTAATATCAAAGAGCTCTCGTTCAAGGAAGGAAGAATGAATGAAAAATGCTTTTTGTGTGTCTCGTATAAATTTTTAGCTTTATGCTGTATATGGATCATATAAAAATCTCGTGTACTGAATTCTAGAATATTTAAAAAATATTCTTTGTCATGAAATATTTTTGTGTAGGAAATAAGATTAGAAATTAGGGTTGCTTATAAATGATTAGTAAAGAAATTAAAGAGTCATGGATCATTTTTGATTTTGTAACTTAGACTCAAATTCCTGGAAAGAATCTGTCGAGACGGATTTGGAAACCAAAAAATTGTTGAAACAAAAGTTGGGGATCTTGTTTTTATGCTACTTATTATTTGTAAACAATCCACTTGAATATCAAATAACAAAAAAATATATTTGAGGCAACCTTACAGTAGCTGTGACCAAATAACATTCTAATGAATTTCTATCACTAAGCTACTGAAGTCACTTTGCTACTCACATAATCATAAAATTTTTAACATTGTTAAAAATATCTGCGGTTCTACTAGAATATTTTATGAAAAAATGTGAAATACTTTGTTAACAAAATAAGAATAAAAAAATGCTTTCCTTTTTAATCCAAAAATGAAAGTAAAAAAATTCCAACAAAAAAATGTAAATAAGAATTCCTTTTCATACAAAACCTTTCTCCGTCTATCCTCATACTCCTCCTTGCATATGACATCTTGAAGGAATTTAAATCTCATAATTTCTAAATTTGTTAACAACCTCGCTTGGATTCTCAGCTCCCCATTCCTTTCTAGAGCTGTAATAAAATAAGAAAAAAAGGTAAATTGAATCCACATATTTTTTTCTAGGGCTGATCAAAGGATGTGATTTGAGATAAAATAATTATTAAAATTCCTTTTTTTTTTAATGTTGAGGACTTTGTTATCTTATAAAGACCTTTCCAACCACACACAGAATTCTCTTCTGGTTTTGCTCTTACTTTAATTAATTTTTTATTCACATTTAAAGAGCTTTTTTTTTCTTTTCTGTTGATTTCTCAAGAGATGAGAATTCTGTCACATTTTTCTTTTGAATTCTTAGTTTTTCGTCTTTTTTTCTTGTTATTCAAAGATGAGAAATCATTCAATTAAGTACTAAGAATTTTCTTTTACTGCGAAAATAAGAACTTTTATATTTCATGATATTATTTTTTCATTTCTAGTGAATATTTTCTTTAATCATTAAATGAAATCTTGAATGTGAGTTTTTCAATGAAGATGACATGAATGTGCAATTTCATTACTGATAAAATGATGAAGAGTGATTCGCAAATTACATACTTTGAAAAATTGCTATTTTATGCAATGTTATCAAATTTCCTTAAGGGGTCGTTCACTTATGACGTCAGAATTTAACGGTCATTTTTCAAAAAAAGAACAATGGATTTCCTGGAATTTCTATTGTTCTTTTCTTGCTGACCCCCCCCCCCCCCCCTAGACGTCATAAGTGAACGGCCCCTAAACTGAGTTGAAACAATTTTCTTCGAACTCATTAGTCCATGCTCTTTAATATAACATTACTCAAACATTTAAGTCTTTAAAATAATTTCTTTCCGCATTATTTGAAGTATTCACATACAAAAAACTAAACGTGTATCTTTAAAATTCTTCATAAAGCCAACGCATGTTTACCTTTGATGAACAAAAAAAAAATGTGAAAACATTTATATTCAAAATGACATAAAAGCTTTTTAGCCTTTAAAAAAGGTGCGTGAGTTTTTCCCAGAAAAAATGCTGAAAAGTGTTTTAACACAAAAAGTTTGTCATGGTGTTTTGATATGAAAAGTTTATTTTGGATCAAAGTGAATTAATGCTGAATGTATTGGAAAATTGATGCTGAATTAAAAAGGCTTTTAAAACAGTTTAATTCTGATATTTAATTTCAAAGGCATTGTGCAAAAAACTGATTAAATTGGATGCGACTACAGTTGATGCTGATACTCGGAAATTAACCATTATATTGTTTATTTTTAGACTGCGTCGAATAAAATGCAGCAAATTTGTCAAATTAATTCACCAAACAAATATCAAAATTACATAACAATGCAGCTTGCAGGAATAACATACACCAACCCGTGCAAACCTTCAAAAACTTAATTCCTATTTCAATGTTTACATTTACAAGAACTATTTTCAGAATTACTGCCAAAATTTACAATGTAATCATTAATTATTCACATTTGCATCCATCACATACAACACGTACGCTTTCATCTATGCTGAAAATGTTCAAAAGTTAAATTCAATTTCTCGTACATGAATTCATACTAAATAAATTATAAGAGTATGAAAATTTAATATGGAAAAAAGGAAATTTAGTAAAGCATGAATGCCTTGATAGTTTTATGGAGCTTTATTCTGCTCCTTTTTCCTGTTTTTTTCACCTTTTTAGGTAGCATTGTGGGATCATTCGTTCATGACGTCCAATATATAAAGAGTTTGTCGATTGGCAAGACAAGTGCTTGCAAGGAGTAAGAGGAACAAAAACCTACAGAGTAAAAAATAATGAGTTCACTCTTTACTGAGAATCACCATCGCCCAGCTCAGTATACTCGATTTATAATTGGCCAGTAGATTCTACATGAATAAAGCATGAGCATCAACATAAATGCTCTTCCCTCATCGACTACAATAATTAATTAACTCACATTCAATTCGTTTCTGCTTTTTTAAATACACAAACTAGAAAACTTTATGTTTTCATTAGAAACGAGAAGGGATTATCATAACAAAATGAGGTAGTGTGGAAGTAGGGTAGAAAAAAGATAGAGCAGCAAAGCTTAATTAAATTTTATAATAGTTGGACGACTCAGAAATGACAACAATATCATTGGTCTTTGTTCTTTGCCTGAAGCTTTTTTTTCATCAACTTTAAATAATGAATTTCTAAGTTGGTTTGTTTATTCATCTTGTGGAAGTTTAAAGCTATACCATTGCATTGTTGATTTTAATTAAAGTTTGAGAAATATCAACGCATTTTTATGATGATTCTTTTGATCAATGTCTTGGTTTTTATAATTAATCTAATCTAAAACTTCCTTAAAACTAGCTTTGTTCATAGAAATGAATGAAATTTTCAATGGACTTTACAAAAAGGCAATCAAATAGAAAAGGAAGTTCTTTTATTTAGTAATTGAAAAATTATTTTTAAGTTTCCACAATTTCTCAAACTCAAAAACTGTAAAATTTTCATATTTTCAGAAGATGAAAATGATTTCTTTGCTCTGCGAATTATTAGACTTAAAGTACAGTGTAGGTATTTGTATACATTGAGGATGGCAATATAAAAATAGAACTCTTAACGTGTGCATCGCAATAATAACAAAAAGTTATGGCTTACAATGTTGTAAGCAAAGAAAACTTTCTGAAATATTTATGAATTTCTGTGGAAATTTATGTTTTGTTTAGCCAAGCAGCTTAGCGAATCTGTTAGCACTTGTTTTCGTGAAATTCTTGCTAATTCTACTTTTATGAGCAACTTCAAAATAATCTTGTATCCACAGCAACAAAAATAATTTGATTTTTATCGGGATATCATCATGATTAGAGTCTAAAGTCCACTTAAATGCAGCATATTGTAATAACAATAAAAATATAACAAGCATAAATATTAAAGAGAAATGCCTGCGTCCATTGTAAAGTAATTCCAAGAATATTCATTCAATTTACAATGCTAATGCTCATTTACCTTAAATTGAACAAATTTACCATCTTATTCTTGTGAAAACTTAATCAACATATAACCACACTGTATGAGCAAAGCCATGCCTCAATGAAGAAGACGATACTTTTTGACTTCATGAATAATAAGATGAGAAGAAAAAGAAAACTTCAAACAAAAATTTACAACAATATTTACCCATAATATAAAGCAGCACCGCCCTCACTCGCTCGTCTCATTGCTGGGTTTGCCCCTTGTGGTTGTAAGCTTGAGCCTCCAGTCTCGGGTAACATTCGATCTTTGGTCTTTGGATTTGCCCAATGCATTGATTGTTGCTGTAGAGATGAATAAGAATATTATACCCAATTTCTTGGTGGATAATAAAGTATCAACTTACAACATGCTCTTTCATTCCAATCCAATTTTTATAGCTGATTTGTAGGCCCGAATTTCTCCATTTGTCATACATCTGTCGCTTTTCAGGATTGCAAAGAATTTCTTTTGCCTCTTGAAGTTGTTGAAAAAATCTTTCAGCATCTTTATCACCGGCATTCTTATCAGGATGATATTTCATGGCCAATACCTTCGGAAATGGAAAAAATATTTGTGTGGGACGCAATAAGTAGAAGTACTCATATGTAATTTGATATAAGTATCAATAATATAGAATTTGTGCAAATGCGCAATATTTTGATTTATTATTTTCACTTTGAACTTTCAGACATTTGAGAATGAGCACAAATTTATTGAAAACTTCACGCGTGGGTATCGAATATTTCGAGAAAAAGTTTCAATCAACAAACAATTGTGGATGTTCACAAACTGTTGATTCAAATCGGATTCAGTTTCAATTAAAGTCTCAAAGGTAACCTTTGTTTTGTCACTAACAGGATTCCTTTGTAAATTCTACAAATTTTCCCCTCAAGTAAAATCTCAAAAATCAAGGCTGTATTTACAAGATTACTAAAATATTATGATAATCTAAATAATTCAAATACTTTTATGGCAGCTCGTGATTTACAACAGTTACCAAGTCTATAAATAATATGAAGAAGTTAATTATTTCGATAAAAGACTGTTAATTACCAGCCCTTAACATAAACTCATCCTCATTCGTCCAAAAGTAATAAAATTCTGCGAGAAATCTCATCAAAAACCCAATTATTACATCCGGTTTTGCTATTTTTATGCTTAAAGATCATCATTAAAATTTGTCGTAAAATAAAAGAATTCAAAATGAGCTTCTATTTTAGGATGACAATTAAAACGTGAGAATCAAATTTATGTCCTTTTTATTTGCTTGTCAGCCATGCTTTCACTCAACTTACCTTATACTCTGCATTAATTTGATCGACCTAAAAGAAAGAGGAGATAAAAATAAATTAAAATGTACAGAGCTGACAAAAAAATATGGGAAGAAATGAAGATGGATGGAAAAATATGAGAAATGGTCACTGATGAATGTCAGAAGTTGAAAAATGTATTAGCAAATAAGCAAGCTGGCATCGAAAGATATCGCTGTGCGGAACTATGGATCGAACAAATGTTTAACAAATCCAATTTGAATGCTGACAAAAAAACATTGCAAGTTTAAAAGTTATAGTTCCTATATCAACATAAAGCGCATTTATGTAGCAGATTAATAACCTACTTGAAAATTAAATTATATTAAACCTTATTAAAGTTTATTGAAATCATCTCTTAATTATTTACATATTGATTTTACAACCCTCTCAAATTAGAGCAGCCGCACATTTTTCCAATTGAATAATCCTTCAACTCCACAAAAAGTATCGATTGATTAATTGAAATGAGATTATGCTCGCATAATGTTCAATGAATTTATCAAATACATACACATATTTTTTATTCGTGTCCATTGTCTGTCAATGAACGAGGATATTACATTTCCATTTTTATGTCCAGTCTGCAAATATTCATCAATTGATAAATCATTATGGAACATAGAATCATCTTGTGAATTGGATTTAAATATAGCTTTTAATATGTAACATTTTATTGATTTTTTTTGATGCCTTTTTTTTTATTTCTGTTCATCTCCCTTCTATTTCTCATTTTATGTTTCCCATGGTGCTTTATGTAAAAAATGAAGCACATTTTTAAAGCACACTGCACACTACAGGATTATCTATGTATACATAACAAGTTCTCAACTCTATGTATCATTTAACATAAAATATGGCAAAGCTATAATCCACTGGATGTAAAAATGCTAGCAAATATGAATAGAAGTCATAAATGGACGAGTTGCAGGCACAGTTTTAATTATTCAACAGCCTAGTTTCATAGGGTACCTTTTTTCATTCAGAAATGTTATCGTCATAATAAGCATGTTGTCATATCCTTGAAGGTAACAAAACATAAAAATAACGACTGCATCTCCAAGATAAATAAGGAAAATAGAAAACAAAATGTAAATGAATAAAAACAATGTGCTCAAGGAGCTGAAAATAAATGGAAAACAAATAATATTTAAAGTGAAACTAGTTTGAAGGCTAAGTTTTTTATCAGAGAAGTAATTTTTTGAGACAAAGTTATTATCAATGTTACTGGATAACTTGAAACCAGTTTGAACATCCAAGTACTTGGACCAGTGTTGAAAGACCAATCTGAGAAACTTGATAACACTGACTTAGACACATTTAATTATATATGATTGTTTAGCCTATAACACAGCCTATATCAAAGCTTCCAATAAATTTAAATCAGCAATCTTTCCACAAGTAAAGTTGTGACATTTTTATTGTGCATACATCCACACGCACTCATTCACATATTTTTATCTTCATCATCAAAAAAGAATTTCTCATCGTAACTTATTTTCTTTTATTTCCTCATTTAACATCCTCTTCTCCTCTTAACCTTATGAAATGATACAATTTCATCCATTTTTCTTACATCCACAAGGATTTAAATGGCATGCGAGAAGCACACAATTGGAATAAAATTCTATAGCACACTTGAATCTACAGATTAAAAAGCTACTAGCGTAGTCTCTTGAGCATAAAAATTCAATTATATTTAATACAACAATCGATCTCGAGCATACCAATGATAAAGAAAATCTCCTCCGAGCCAATTTATCGGTATAGTTAATGATCCATTCTTGTGGTGAATTTAAGAAGGAATTTTTATCTTCTTTGCGTGTGTACGAATGTTTATTTACACAAATGTCAGTCACACTTTTCTTTTCTTATCTTATCCTTATTCACGGTATACACGCGGATTCCCTTAAGCGCTCAGAGTTTTGTGTACCAAATGATACTGATAGACATTAATCTTTCATACAATATTCTCTTATGACTCTTATAACTTTTTTTTTGTCTTCGTCTTTTTTTGTACCATCGGCTTAGTCTTTAATTTTCAGAAAATTGTTTCTTGTGGAAAATGGGCTTTAAGTTTGAGAGTATCAAACTAAAGCACAAGCACATAAAATTTCCAGATTTTCCTCTACACGCGCTTCTCCACATGACATTCGTTATTGTAAATCAAGCTACATTGAACTCACACAGTAGTCAACTCAACTCAAATAAGATTATTGGCATATTGCAGTTCTACTTGTCATATATTCCCTTATTAAGATAATATATGACAAGTTAAATATATATCATGACATGCACGAGTCGTGTTCTAGTTTAAGTTTCAACACTTGAATCCAATAGCAATGAAGGATTTATATCCGAGGTAATATGAATTAAATACATTCAGTAGCAATAATACAATAAATTAATAATGAAAAAATTCCACTCACATTGCGAGTTGAGAATGTGAATTATTAACAGATTCTCCGATAAAAAGAGCTTGAAAGAGGAACAAGTTGAAGGAAAAAAAGTTTTAATTGAATAAAAAAAAATTTCTGGAGTGAAAACTTGCACATGGAAGAATCTATTGGAAAATTTTAACCTGAGAACGAGTTTGCAATTTTCTTAATTTTCATTGATTTATTTTCTGTTTACTCAGTTGGAGCTAGCAATTTAATTTAATTAGGATTTTGTGTAAAATATTCAATTCATGCTTCTGAAGTTAAGGGGAATTTATAAGAAATTTTAAGATAAGAATGTTGAACATATCTGGTTCCAAAAACTGAATGCTTATTTATTCGAATACGCAGATGTGAAACCAATGAGGAGGTATTTCCCTAATATTCATCTTTTAGTAATTTTTCACAAAAATTTAGCTACATCCCTGCTATAATCAAACTTCCCATTCCAAATGAGAGATCATCAAAAGAGTTCATTACTTTTTTTACAATTATTGCTCCGCATGCATAAAAGATCAAAAGAAACATTTTAATATATCGTTTGATTTATGCATCTATGTGCTTAAGCTGTCATTTCCCACGCACCCTTTGCTCTATTTTAATCTATGATAGCAAAATGGATGGGATGCTCATACATACAGTCGTACAAACAATTATAAGACTTTCAGTTTTCAAACTAAGCTATCCTTAATCCTATGTATCATTGTCCTAGTTCGTTCTTTTGTTATGCTGTGCTGCATATTTCAAGGAAAATCTCCGCAGCACTGACACAATAAAAATTATGTTGGCTGAGCTGTAAATCAATGAAAAAAAACCTTTTTTTTCCCAGGCATTGTGGGTGATTTTTTTATAGGAACAACGCTTGATGCTTATTGGGTTGGAGTGTGCTAAATGCAGAGAATATGAAAAGCATGTCAAAAGTTCATGATGATTCTTGAAAAATTTTATAGTACAACTTGTTGAGTAGCTGTCTGAGCTAGATTTATTTTTATAATAGATTAAAAAACCTTCAAAACTTAGTTTTCGTCTCAAATATCATCATGTGACCTTTACAAAATGAACAAACTGTTGTGTTTCAAATTTTATCGGATGCGCATAATTGCTTCTAGTTTTCAGAACAAACAAAATTGTTTATAATTAAATTCTCACGTAATGCTGCTGAAAATTACCCATAGGATATTTTGGATATTAAGGCTTCTATAAAATCCAATTAACATGCATGCATGTGTTTCTTGTTCTGTATCAATTGTACCTGTAGCTTTTGATTGTCCAGTTGTATGGTTATTTGTTGATTGCGTTTGTGTAGTTATCTGAATATTAAGGTTCCGAAAATCTGTCACCAACTTGCTGTTCATTTTAAAGCTTCTATTGAAATCACTCAGGATTCCAAACTGTCAGAAATCCTGTCATCACCTTTAAATTAATCTTAAAAGGTAATTTCAACAGCGAAACAATCTCTTTGTATAAAACTGCTTATTTCTCTATTCAATTCCGCTCCTTTACAAAATTGATTGAAAAGAGGAATAAAGCTCCTTTATCTTTCCTACTCAGTGTCATTCAGATCTATGAAAAGCGTTTATTGCTTTTCTTCTTTCCTACATTCGCTCATTTTCACAGCGATCGATTAAATTAAAATTCAATTAATTCAATCCATCTGTGGGAGTGGAATGAAAACTCGTTGATAAAAGGAATCACAAATTAAATCAACTGACATAAAAGCAGTTTTAATCAATAAATTGCAAAACTTTATTCCATTGCAACATAAACCTATGATTATTGTTTCATGAAAGTGGTATCTGATCGAATGACATCGGCTTATTGTTGGATTGTTTTGCATTGGAATGAAATGTTCAACAAGTCAAGAATGATTTTAGGCTGCGCAGTTGATTGTTGTGTATTCAATATTCAGAAGAGGTTATGTAAAGACTTCTAATAAGGTCTGAAAACTTGAATATTCTAGTTTGTGAAGGTTAGAAAACTAATCAAAGTTAATTAACAACAAATTCTAAAAATGAAATATTTATTCACTTGAGAGCATAAAGTCTAAAGATAGTGATACAGACATTATTCCACTGGACCAAATATTACTTTTGAAATAAGCTTAAAAGCATCATTTCCATACAATCAGATATGAATGAAAATCCGAGAAAATTTGTTAAACAAAAACATGTCTGGAAATGCCTTCAAACCATTCCTCATATAATATATTGGAGTTAAGCTCTTGTCTTAATTTTTCAATTCCAATTTATTTTGTCAAAAGAAAAACAAAAGAGTGATGAAAATGGTACAAACAAAAATTCAATTTCATTCAAGAAGATTTATGTTTGCAATGAGAGAACTTCGTGCCTTCAGCTTTATTTAACTATCCCTGTATGAATGGGAAATGTTGCAGCACAACGAACGAACATTAAAAATCGTTAAATACTGGGATTATTCACTCAGAACATTGTTAAACAACAACATAATGATGAGAGTTATGTAACCTTACAGTTATTCCTCTCAATAGCTGCATCTACTAATTATGTGTATAAGTTTCAAACTCTTTTGTAAACAGTCATAAGCAAACAGGTTTTTTGCTTCATATAGTGATTCAGATGTGTCGACAAAATGTCTCATAATTGCCGATAACATTCTTGTAAGACTTATGAAATTATTTTAATTTTGAAAAAATGCATTTTGTTAAGGTTCAATGACTTTGGATACTTAAAAGTCTTGTGTAAGATAAATGAAAATGATTTCAAGTTCAAGCTTTAAAACCAGTATGAAATTTACCGCTAACATTACAGCTCATTCATAGAAAATCTCGACACACCCATTAAAAGTGAAATTCTAGTTTTAATGTATTTTTTCCATGGTTCTACATAATAATGTTACTTCTTGCATCATTCACAAGCTCAATTTCGTAATTCCATGACCTTCATAGACTCATATAAGGTTGTCTCATGTTATTAATAACAAAAGTAGCAACAGAATGAAAGTGAACGAAGTAATAACATTGGATATAGCAAGCTCCTCACTTTTTCCAACTCACAACCCAATCTCATCTCAATGACCTTCCAAAACAGTGGCTGTTTGAGATGAAAAAGAACGCAAAAGGAATTATTTTTATGACATTCCTTCCGCCAACAATTCAACCTACGATACTTTTTTATGTTTATTATTATGCGAATGCTTTTTATGTTGCGATGAATAGAATGTAGGGATGTTCATGTAGCAGGCACTAAGAGGATTGATGATCAAAACGAATCAGTTAATTAGATGAAATTGAAAGTCATTTCTTGATGGTGAATTTGTAGGCGCAACTGTTGACATCAGATGATTAATGTGCAACCATTTTGAAGTTGATTTGGGTACAGAATAAGGAGGTTAAAAGTAGCACTTGGTTGATATGTGCAAGCAATTTAAGATTATACTTAGAACTTGTTCAAAATAACAGAGATTAAAATATCCATGGCTGTAAAATGGCATCAAGATGATTATTATCTTCTATCTTTAACTTTTGGACATAAATTCTAAAAGAGACTAAGAATCGTTCTCTTATGATGTCCAGAGTTTTAAGACTTCACACCAAAAATATTTTTCCATAAAAACTCGTAATGGTTCAAAATTTAATATTTTCAGACATCATTTGGCAACGATTCCTCACAATAAACATTCTAAATCTCCAAAAAAATGGACAAAAAGCAGCACAGAAATTTCAGATCAAACCCATATTCTCTGCAACTGAATAAAGAAAAAAAAATTATTTGAACCTTTTCAAAAGCAAAAGGATGAAAGATTCTAATCAAGGAACAAGCAATGCCGAAAGATGAATAAAATTTTGCAATAAGGATAAAAAGTTTCTTGCGTGTGTATTTATTTGATGAAAAAATATTTGCGCGACCTTAGCTAAGGAGCGGAATTAATGCTATAAGCACAACATTAAGCAAGAAGAGGAAATGAAATTGCGACTTGGAGCATTTTATTTTCGTTTGAAACATACAATTTCCTCCATTTATGCTTCCTACAGCTTGCTTTATGCTGACAAATCCTTCATTTATGCCTCGTTTTGTGTACTTTGTATTTATATTCAAATAAATTGTCGATGCGAGTTATGATGACTCAATTGCATGGAATACGAGAAAGAAATCCCCAATGCTGACGAAATTCAATGAAATCAAAGGACAGATATTTACGACGTAAAATATTTTGTCATTGAAGTCGATGTGACATCATTTGTGAATCACACAGAATCAAGTGGAAAAAATGTTGTCTGTTGGCTACACGCGAGAACTCATTTTTCCCTAGTCAAATCAACAGCTATTGTTAATCATTGAATTGTCAGTTTTGTAAATCTATCTGAAATTGATATTTATCAATCAAAACCGCAAGCTATGACACCTAATATTGGTTGCATTGTGAGCTTACATTTGTTAAAAATAGCAATATTTGTTTAAACTAGAGGTTGAAGATTACTCTGAATAGATTTATTAAGCATAAATGTTTTGTTTGACTTTAAAGTGACAGTATTGAGTGCAGATAAGATCAATAGGAAAGTCGGTCAAACAAAACAATAAGCAGCGACGTTGTCCAAAGGTTTATGCTATTTATAGACACTAAAGTCAACAAGGGTTTATCTATGCGATCGAAAATGCATGTATGACCTAGTTCTTGCCTGTCCCAGGCAAATCGTGCTATTAGGTGATGAATTTTTGTAGGTTGTCCAGTAGCTGCGCTTCGAATTTAATACTCTATTGCTAGAATAGATGATCAATTTTTCAAGACAATAAATTGATGAATGAGGTAAATGATGAATTATTTAGTCATTGACTCGATAAATTGATTAAATTATTACAGGATGAATGATTGGCAAGAGAATCGATAACTAGCTTGTAACAAAAGTCTTTTGCTTATTTGCTAACAATTCTGACATAAAACCGTACTCAAAAAAATAAACAGCATCATTTCTTATTATTCCATTTGCTTCAGACTTACCGATGAGCTTTCGTCGCAGTTTAATAAAGCATAGAAATCCTCATCCGGATTTTTCTTGTAGCTCAAAATTTCATCAACACCGCTCATTTTATCTGGAATTTCTTTTTTAACCTTCTATCAAACTTTTCTCGCTAATGGATTATAGAATTAACTCAGTGCAGCCTTTCACTTCTTTTATGTCACACAAATTATTTGGAATTTTAATGATCAATTTTTTTTCGGATGTTAATTCCACTTTTTAATTATAATTATCTATTGCCGTTCTTTAATTCTCCTTTTATTCTTTGCCAGATTAAGATTAAAATAAGCAAATTTATTATGCACTGAGTATTCTTAATGAACTTCTTTTTGACACAGCAAATAATAAAGAAAGAATTAAAATTATGAGTTTATTATTTTTTCGTCAGATTATTTAAGGTCAGTCAAACTCGACGTAAAATGTAACACTGAGAGAGACGAGACTTTTGCAAAAACAGCAAACTGTATCGAGACAACCTTTCATGTAGAAAAATGAAAAAACAAAAAGCTCAGAAATTCCATGCAATGCCGTGAGAGTAAAATTGTTAAATCGAGAGAGTGAGAGTCAATGCTATGTTTTGTAAAAGGACGTTAAGTTCATCATTCGATTAAAAATAAAATCGGATATCGGCATGTGATGGTTACGATGATATTTTTAGATATGAATGAACATATGGAAGATGAAAATTTTGTCTTATAAAAATAAAGGAAAGACCGAGATGAAATAATAACAAGCAAAACAGAAAAAAATCTTTAATTTAAATTGTCATCGGAGTCATTCAAGTCGCTTGTCAAATTGAGGAAATTTTTTCTTTCTTCATTAAATTTCCTCAATCTGTGACTTAAGGAAGGAAAGTAAAAAAATTTCATTTTGTCTAATTTTTATGTCAAAAATTCACATGCATCGAATTTATCTTATGAAATGAAAATTTCGCGTATCCGCATAATGATAATAAGACGAGAAGGAGGAATCTGTTGAGTATCTTCGTATGTCTTAATATAAATTGTCATATTCATAAAATTTTATAAGAGTTTTTCTCTTTTAAAATACCTAAGAATATACATTATGTGATTTTTATGGATTTGTTGACTTGAGCGCATTAAAATCAAAGCGTGTGTGTTCGGAATTAATCTCTTAAAAACAACACTTCCTGTTATTGTATAAAGAAACTCCTAAGAAATAAATTTCCAAGCTAATGAATTGATTAGGGATATCCAGTGGGATTTAAGATTAATGTCCAGTGTATATGCCTTGATCAATATGTATCATAGTGTTGAGTGTTCTACACAAACTGAACAGAAGTTCACAAGTTCAAAATTGAAAACATTTGGTCAAGGGAGGAGTGAGCACATGTACTTCCATGCTTCATTTTCTAACAATAAGTTGTTGTTTCAAAAGTTTGATTTGTTAAGGCATTGAAAGGCTTTGGTTAAACAAAAACTTTTTCAGCATTTCCTGAAATTCCATTCTTTCAAATATTATGGCCCATTAAGTATAAAGTTCGGCTAAAGCTGTGTATATCAAAATTTTCCAAGAACTGATTTACAACGCAGCAAAAAGAAACACGATTGAATCCTAAAATAACGAAAGTCTCTTTGCTACAGGTTCTTAGAAGACTGTCATTTAAAAGCACAATGAAAGCAGAAAGCATCCTTTAACTCAATGACAAGCATACCGAAATTCCTGCTAACAAATCATCGTAATTTTTATATTATTCAAAAAATTGTTGTATCACGAACTCTCATTTCATATAAAAATAACGATACCTCCTGCATCATTATATTCCTCGCTTATAAAATCCACGCAGTTTTCTGTGCATAACATGGAAATTAGATTTGCAGATAAAAAATATCATTCTTTTTGCCATTTTTCGTGAGACAATGAAATTTAAAGTCTCATAAAAATTGTTCCTTTTTCTTCTTAGCTCTCAATCTTTATTGCTTCACATCTCTACTCATGCCCTTCTTTCAACCTCACCGCACATATTTATTCAGCCCTCGGTTGTTGCTCACTCCTCTCTTACTCTCAATATGCTGTTACTTTTCATTCAATATTTGAGTTTGTTCGGTGAGAAATGAGAGAGAATGTTCTCAAGAATCTCAGAAATATGATTCTTGTGGATATAGCATGTGTTTGAGATGTTTTTTTGTTTAATAGATATCGGAGATTAATGCGTCCATCATCATGATTTCTGTCTGATTATTTTTAGCTTAGCAACGCTTCTCTATGTCTAGAAGAAATGCATTCATGACCGAGCTGTAACTGAATAAAGATCTATATTGTCCGTAGCATCATAAGCACTTGCATGACTTGTCACCATATTATCCTCACAATGTCTAGGATAGGAATTGGCACGAGCATTGTTTAAAATCTCCAGATCTGGTCTATGACTGTGAAACTAATGGAAACTATTTTGTTTTTTCAATAAGAAGCTTTTCATACCCAACTCAAAACATAAATAAACTATCATTACAATCAGGAAGCCATCAATGTCACATACACCGGCATCTGCCAGACTACCTGTTCATCACCTTAAAATATTTCAATACTTCTCGGTCTTAGACTAATTTTTGACAAAATGAGGCACATTGGTTGCATATTACCGACAGATTTGAGAAAATTTTGTTTGATGATGATAAATATACTTTGCCATACATAAGACTGATGATGTAATAGATCTCGGAAAAAGGTTGTATGAAGGAAGAGCAAAAAAGATTGAGTGTTGACTTTTTAATTTTCGTTAATTAATTCGGTGATGAAAATTAAAATTTTGTTGGAACTTCTCGTTGGTGTTTACATGAAATGTAGAACAAATTGAGTTTCTTGATGGATGAATGGAAATATCAAATTGCAATTGTGGTGGTTGAATAATTAAAAGCTGCATTTTTCGGATGAATAACTAGGAAAATTAATTAAAATAAGCCACACGTGCTGAATACAGAAAATACATGTACAGGAAATGTTGCTACATTACTGACAATTTTTTCGATAGTTAAAAGTAACAGATTTTAAATGCCATTCATCAATTGAGTGGCGTTCATGTGACAATTGATTGACAATTATTTAATTTTTGCTGTAAAATTTATTAGTCGTCCTAAATACATGAGTTAGGGGATATTTGCTTATGATGTCTAGATATGGAGCTCAAAATGTGTGTCAAACTGTTTTAAAAACCTTTCTTGTCTTAAAAATTAAGCATGAAGAAAGAATTCAAAAATATCATTTCTTGACATCATTTACAAATGACTCCATGCAGTTTTAACACGTGACGGAAGTACTCAAAAGCACAATCCTAATAAACAGCATGAATCTTTGAGTTAAATATTGACAAAAAAATAAAATTTCCATAATACTTTGTAGTAACATAGACATTAAGTACACATTCCAACCTAAAAAACAAAATTCCCATCACGTCCATTGAAAAAATATTGTTACTGCAAAAAAATAAATGGCCGAAAAATGAGCTATGAAGGGATGAAATAATCAATCATTGTTGACTGGTCCGAAATCCTTTTACTGAATTTTCCAACACATAAAATTTCTAGTGGCAAATCAATGGGATGTAAATTGTTATGGGATTTTAAGATTAATCAGAAACCAATTGACCGAAAGTAATGACTTAATGCCATTTTTACACAATGGGAATTATTATTTGATAAGTTTTAAATCCATAAAAGGCAATTAATGTTCGAAATTATTTTATTATCGATTTGTTTCTGATATATGAAGAGTCTGACATTAAGGAACACATCTGATGAATTTTACTTCGGTCTATTGGATGCTGTAGAATCCCCGTCCTACCCTCCTTGACTCCCTTAACAATAAAACATCCAAAAACTCTAGTTATGAACATTTGAAAACTTAAAAGTCAAAAATGAAAATAGCGTAAAATTATAAAAAGCTATTAGACGCCAAACGATAATTCATGTCCATTGACCATTTTCTCCAAATTTTCCACACATGTTGATCATATTTTATATCATATTATTTAAAATAGAAATCTCGAAAAACTTCTCGAAAATCAAAATGGGTTTAGTCAATGACTCACATTTCACTTAATCGTCCATTAAGTTGGATTTTCTTATCACTTGACAGTTTTGACAGTCATTGGTGTCATCGGCGTGATCTTTAGCAGTCATCATATGGCGAATGCGTACATGTGGATGTTAAAATAAACATTCACAGCACTTCACACGAAATCTTCACTCGCTCTTTACTTGACAATTTCGCGAAAATTGTCATTGACTTATTCGACATGAGGAGTATTGGAGACAAAGTATGTAGAATATGAAAATTTCGGCGAAGTTCTTCTTCGAGGAACTACTTCGTCAATATTTCTTCGAATTTTCATCTTTTTCCTTCATTTGATTTCTTTGACCTTTGAGAATTTTCTTCTTAGTCTGCAACAATGTATGTGCTATGTGATGAAGGAAGTCAATGAATGAATTTTCCTACTGAAAAGTTTATTATTCCCTTTGCCTTGAAATAAAATTTTTTTAAGGACTAGACGACAATAAAATAATTTTAAATGGCAGTTGTGATTTTATGAACATAAAGATGACAGTAAGTTGGACCGTACCCTAGATTATATGACTTATTAATCTAAAGATTGAGAACTATTATGTATATTAATGCACGGAAACTAAATTTAAAGTTCCAAGAATTCACAATATTTGCAATTAAGGCAATTCAGGCTGTATCTATAAACAGTACACAAAAACTAAAGGCTATTTTCTGAATTATTCTGTCAATTTAACACAGCAAGGACGTAGGAGTCTTCTGCATAAATGCTAAACGTCCAGTCTCATTTGTCTTGAAATGCTGTGAACATGCCAACTGTACCAGTGATATATGATACTTAAGACGCAAAATCATTGTACAAATAGTTGTTTTCCATTTGAAACTGTCACAAAAGGACGTTAAAGCCATAAATCAAGTTGAACAAAGAGCAAAGCACGTGGATATTCCGCAGCTATTATCCTCAATTACTTTAATTAACTTTTCCTCATATTTCAAGGATTCTCGTTGCTCATAAACTTAATTCATGAGTTCACTTCCGAGGCTTCACTTTTTAACAACCTTACAATTCTGTTCCTTAATAAAAAGTTTGACGATTCTTTTTTTCTTTTTCTCAATTATTGCGCCACAAAATCCAAACAAAATTTTTTCATTAATAAAAGAAAACTTTTCAATCTCGACATTTTGTTGCTCCTCAATTTTATTTTTTTCTTATTTCTCTGTCAAGAAAGAAATTAATAATTTTTATTTTCATGACTTTCAAATCATTTCTTTGCTTTCTATTTGCTCACCATTGATTTGAGTCGTCAACTTTTCATTTCTTTTCTTTCCGAGAGCATCTCAAAAAAGTATAAAATAATGTCGAGTTATAAATTGATGGGCACGTGGATGGTTGTGGTGCATTTGGAGTTGATAAAAGTTTCATGATGTTTTGACAGACTTGGACGAGTTTTGTTATGAAGTTATGGGAAATTTTAAATTGTAAAGTTTATACCTGTGCTGGATGACAGCAATTAAATTCAAAAAGTTACTGTCCAACTGACTAGAGTTTTTCGAGGTACGAAGCATATTTTGAGAATCAATGAATTAGTAATAAGAATCGAGATAATATTTTGGAATCTGGTTGTACTAGGAAATAGAAGAAAGATGACCAAATCATCCGTATGTGTATCCAAATACACTATCTACAAATGGATGTAATAAAGTTTATTATTAAAGATTATAAACCAGTCTTTTGAGTCTTGACAAGGATAATTTCTGATAGGTGCATATAAAACACTTTAGGAATAGCAAATTTCTTGAACTTGCTAGGTTTCTTGTTCTTCCTTCTACCCTACCCCCCCCCCCCCCCCCCCTTCTTCCCTTAATTTATTCAGTTCATTCCATCGTAGTAGTCTTTGACTTTACATTGAAATTAGAGCTTAAAATTAATTTGTCATAAATCAAGAAAATTTTTAAAATAGAAGATGCTGCAAGGGAACCAAAACCAGACAAGACAAACCAACTGTACAGCACAAAATCATCATCCAAAGAAACCAGCTAAAAGTATAAAAGAAAAGTCTTATGTATACATATTTTGTTTTTGTATGAAAAATTCTTTTGAAGGCAGTCGACGCACACAACCGAGTCAAAAAAAAAGTTTTCCTCAATTCATATTTTTTTTTCTTTCTGTTCCCGTCAATTTTCATGCCGTTGAGAAGGAAAAAAAAGCAGTAGCAAAAAAGATATCTGATTGAGAAAAGAAAAATAGCAGTTGAGCTAGCTGACGACGAAACATTCTCGGGATACGCGATCATCTCTGCTACAAACACACATTTAACATGAGAGTTAATATTTATTCATCATGACTCTTTATTCCTCGCATCGCATGATGATGTTGATGGTCTTTTTTTGGGGGAAAAATATCTATACACAAAGAAATACAGAGATGAATATGAATATAAGCAAGTATGTGGCTCAAAATATACACAAAAAATTGAGAAAATAAAAAAGATTTCTTTCGTGTCAGTTGCCTACAGCTAGTGAGCATGAATGTGCTGCAGTATAGTTTAGACAACTATTTTGTACAATATTAAAGTAAGAGAAGCGAATTTTTATCGGTTCTAGTTCCACTATATAAAATTTATTTTTTCCTTGCTCAGCCAAGCGCCGCGTGTGAATGAAATTAAAAGTTTTAAAGGAGGAAAGTCAACGAATGAGTGGCAAAATTTATTATTATTTAAAGTGAAGAAAAGAATATCATAAAATTTAATAATAATTGATGATATTACAGTGAAAGAAAATATAAATATACAGCAAAAGTAATACAAAAGAAGAAGAAGAAGAAGAAGTAAAAAAGTTGTGATCAGTGAAAAAAAAAAAAGAAAAAAAAATCTGGCAAAGGAAATTTTGTGACGTTACATAAAAAAAATTCATCCATAAAAAATTTTACAGCAGCCTTAGAAAGGAAAACAAGCACACAAAAAAATCACTATGGCAGAGATTGAAGTGGAAGAAACTTTCGAAACAACGACGGTCCGAAAAAAGACCGTCAAAAGGAGCATTAAAATTGAGGAAGTGAGTAGACATAAATATACACAAACACACACGCACACACACACACATGATAAATTTGTAGCTTGATCCTTTAAAGATTCATCCATTAAATTGTGCACTGATTATGCACGATTTATTTGAATAAACACAAATGTCACTCAATTCTAACATTCGCCGCCCATATTTACAAGGAAGCGATGTAGAAAAAAAAATCTCGAACATCAGTAATATAGACGCAGATAGGAGTTGATGTTACACATTCTCAATGATCTTTTGTAGTGGAAATTTTTTTAAGAAAATGCCATAAAAACTGCTCATTTTCTATTAGACATTATTTACGTTCTCTTCCCTTTAAACACAAAATAAAGTTATTTTTATCAGCATATAATTATAGAAAATCTTTTTGAGGAAAGAAGAAAAAGAGCGGTTGAGATGGAAAAAAAATATGTACATTTTAAAAAATATATATCACTAAATGTATATATAAATATATATATATATACAGCTATTGAGAGAATATTAGATTAGAGCATATGTTTTTGAATGAAATATATGAAATGAGTGAGGAATATATTGGAAAATATTAATCTTCGATAAATTTTTTATATATCCACAATTCTATGATCAAGTGGGTGACTGTCGTAAGCTAAATATTTAGCGCATCTATCCTTGAGATATTAAAAGTGGAAAAATTATGGGTAGCTTGTGAAACAACAAAAAGAAATAAGCAATGCTGATGAAATATGCAAAAAGAACATTTTTAATTTAAAAGTTATTAATTTATTAATACAGGATTCGAACCTTATGTGGCATTATTTTTTTAATGCATTTACAATTTCTATAAATATTAGACATGTAAAGGACATAATATTAATGCTGAAAAATATCTTTTAACCACAAAAAGTTAAAATTTTACAATCATCAAAACAATAGAAGCAAACAATATTTTTTTTTTAAAAAAGAATAATTTATCTATCATTCAATATATATATAAAAAAACCAAAATCAACAGATGTTTCTCCTAGAAATCATGCTCATCATATTTAATTTTGGGAATTGAACCCTTTCTTTGTCAAATTCAATATTAAGAAGCAACAATTCAAAATTTCTGTGATAAAAGAGGAAGCAAATTGTCTATTTAAGGCACAAAAATCGATTTTATTAAAAACGTGCTCGAAAGCCAAAAATTTCCTTAGTCATAAGGGTCGTTCACTTATGACGTCCAAAAGTAACAATCATTTTTCAAAAACGAACAATGGATTTCCAGGAATTTCTATTATTTTTTTTTGCTGACCCCTCTTGGACGTCATAAGTGAACGTCCCCTTATTTCATTTTGTCAATCCAAAATCGAAGGAAAAAATAAAAAAGCTCAAAGGAAGTGATTTGACGTAAAGCATTCATTCAGTCAGTCATGCAAACAATATATAACAAAATACTCATCACGAAAATTTCTTTTTCTGCACACAAAATCAAAATCACAGAGTGAGTAGAGAAGTCATCTCTTCCAACCAGAGTTTGAAAATAAAATGAAAATTGCTCTATTTTGAAAATAAATCAAAATGAAAATTATGAAAATTGCCAATTCTGATCAAAGCAATTTTGCAATTTTGTCAATTTCAGAAAATTGCAATTTTGGAAATTGTTTATTTTCCAAAATTGCAATTTTGGAAATTATCAAATTTTATTTTTGTGACGTCATAAATATTTGATGAATAATTTTGTATGAAAATTTTCTTCTTTTTAAATGAATTTTTTCTTCAGAAAAACAAAAGATACAGTTTATTTCCTGGATGTTGATATTCGTTTTTAACTTAATACTTGCTAATTCCTGCGTGTTTGATGCGTTGTTCCTTTAAGTTTATTTTAAATTAAAGGTACTCATAATGCTGCATCACCATACAGACATGATTATCAAAAAAAAATTCATTTCTGAAAATGTATGAAAAACATGTTTGATGTAAATTTTATTAGGGGAGAGGAACTGCTGAATTTTCCGAACTTTTTTGCAAACCTGTTTTTTTGGAACCTCCTCTGAAAGTGTCTAAAAAGTATAGAAAACAAATAAAATTTTTTTTGGCAGTTCCAGTCAGTTGGACATAACCAGTTCCATATGGGATATCTCATATAGCATAGTACTTATGATTCGTTATTAATTTTCATCATTTGCTGCTATGATTGCTGATAATGGTTTTGATTAAAAATCAAGGAAAGTCTCAAGCATAAAGTCATCAATTCATATGAAAATTTTCATACAAAATTCCCGAAGAAATTTTGTGACGTCACAAAATTGAAAATTGATAATTTCCAAAATTGCAATTTTCGAAAATAAACAATTTCCAAAATAACAATTTTCTGAAATTGACAAAATTGCAAAATTGCTTTGATCAAAATTGGCAATTTTCATAATTTTCATTTTGATTTATTTTCAAAATAGAGCAATTTTCATTTTATTTTCAAACTCTGCTTTCAACATTCTGATGTCTAGCAGGTGACGCAAATTTGTTTTCTGACTTTACGAGAAAAGTTTATTTTTCTTCATTTTAAAATGCATTTATTTTATTTAATTTAAAAAAAAATATGCAATTAAGAAAAAGTTTTTACATTCCCTCGCAGCACTAAAGAATTGTTGTCGTCTACAATGTTTTTCAGTTAATTTAAAGCAAAGAAATTTTACTTAATGTGTGTCATGTCTTCATATTTTCAAGAAGCTAATCCAACATAAGGTGGATGAAAACTTAGTTTCATAAAAATGATAATATAATTACATTTCTACAGACTCGCAGAAGTATATAAGATAAATTTGGCAGCTTAATGGTGTATATATATGTACATGAGCGGTTAATGAATGAACACAGATGTTTCATGAGTACAAAAAAAAGTTCATAATTATGCACATCAAATATTATTTCGGATTGTTAGTCATTCTCTCGTACAACTTACTTATTGCTGTGATTAGCAATGAAATTAATTTTTTCATGGACAAGAGCTATTAACTCTACATGATTTATTATATGAAAATCACGGCGATAACAGTTATTTAATGTTGGCTTTGGAGTCGATTACAAATGACGTCCATCAAATATTGTTGTTTTTTGAATCTCATCTCTAATTGTTGCTCAGCATCTTACTCTATAGCATGAATCTAGTACATGACTATGGAATATTTTGGTTACTACACATGTGCTTCTTCCATTACCCAGAATGACACAAGAAAATAATTTTATAAAGCCTTCTTATTTTCCATACAGCACATGACCAAACATGGAGCTAAAATTGTATTTCTATAGAAAAATATTTCCAGTTCCAATCGTACTTAAAAGTATTTACCTTCATTTTTATCACTCAAATCCTCTTATAGTGCTTCAGATCCCTAACATCTCCTAATGGAAAAAGGATGTTTATCCCTTAAAAAATAATAAAAACTTTATTTCATCAAAATAGACATAAATTGATTGACAGTCGACTGTATTTTATACTTTTATAAGTTGCCATTTTAAATTCTGGGAATGAAAAGGATTAGTCAGACAGAATTTGTAATTTACATATTAGAAATGAATCAATACATTTAGAACCTTCTCTGAATGTATTCATACCAAAAGGAATAATACAGACCCTTCCTTCCTTAAAATGTTAAAAGTATAACGAATTTTAATACAAATTTAAAAAAATTTCATTTTTATGAGGCACGATTAATTTAATTTAATCCAACATGATTCACTTTAAAAACCAGCTCATAATGTTAATTTATCAGAAAGGATACATGCAAGAAAATTTCCTGAAGAATTTCTTAAAGGGATCTTCTGAAATGTTAAGGTAAAATCAAGCACGTGAAAGGCAACGCAACATTTCTGAAGGCCTCTCGAAAAGCCTTTATCTTTTAAGAAAAATATTTCTTCAAGTCCTTTTCCTTTCAAACTTAATTTGAAACTCAGACTCTGTTCTGCTCGAAAAAATCCTGCAAAATTCTTTCAAGTGTCAAAGTTTGAAATAAGAAATACAAAAGCTCATCAAGCTGGATTTCTTATACTTTTCAAAAGAACGAAAATGAAAAAAATTATCTTTATCAAAGTCAAGAAGCCTAAGCATTCAAGCATGAAATATTAATTAATAATACTTTTGTTAGATCTGTATTTCATCTTGTGAATTTTTTATGCTTGTTTGCTTCTTTGAATTATTGCAAAATGAAATAAAATACAAGATTGAAAGGGGCAAAAAATAATAAATAAAGTTTGAATGGAAAATAAATAATTCATCGGATGAAGGAGTGAACAATGAATGAAAGGAAATAGCGTAGTAATGAAAAAAAAAATCGAAATGAATAATTATTGAGATTGAATGCAGAATGTATTGTGGATCTTGGGGGTCATTTGCTTATTACGTTTTCCATTCAGAGGAAGAATTCACAGTTGAATGACATCCCATACTGATGAAAAATCTAGAGATGAGCAAGGTCAAAAACCTTGTTACATAATAAATGAACGACTCCAAGGATTAAAATTATAATATAAATACCAAATTGAACAAGAAGTGCCCTTGAACTTTCATAAGCAATTAGTTCAGAAGAATGAAGATAATCGAAATTGACAGGATTTATTCTGATATGAACATTGAAGTGATCAAGGACATGCCTGATGTGTGTTTCTAACAATACATATTGACTTGCAGGCAACAATCCCATTTTCTTCGTGATTTAACATAATGAATCAATAGAGCAACTCAGAGGTTGTACTTACCCCAGTAACCAAACGCAGAACGTTCTGTAATTCAGAAATTCCGTAAACTTTCTGTACTCAGCTATTATAAAAGAGACATCTTCTATCGAAATATTAGCTGACTCTTTTCAACTAGTTGAATATTAACTTTATCAAGCCAATTTTCAGATAGTGAAAGTTTACTCACTTTTTTCAGACAGTCGCTAGCTATCTCCCAATAGCTTAACTGTGTTAAGAAAGTAAACATATGGAAATATTTTTGTCAATATACTTCACAAGCGCTTGCAGAAATCACTTATATAAGGTCT